AGCGTTATTTCTTAATAAAATAGCTAACATCTAATAACCATCGAACTTATTATGTTGATTAATATGTTTTTATTATAAATTAAGAAAGTTTTAAAAATTCTGATATTTATTTAAATTTTTGAATGAAGAAATCCGTTTTCTTGACCGTCATTTCTTAAATAATACATTTAGTTTAAATATTGTCATAGAAATAGGCACGACCATTAGTGAAATTGTATTATTAGTTCCAGGAGATAAAGTGTCACTTATAAATTTTTGAAAATGACCGAGTTTATTAAAATCGGATTATAGATGCCTGATCTATACGTATTTATAATAAAGTACTAACTCAATGTTTTCCTATGTAAATACACAATAGTCCCAAATCATTGGGACACCGTTTACAGAGATGCACATACATCTCATATTATTAGTTATTTCCTACATTATTGTTTTCTTATAAGAATTTGTGTACCTTTACTCACACTAGTAAACTGTCCTTGATGCTGATCACTCCATTATATTAATTTTGAAAATATATACAGATATCTGCACAAAATATTTGTAAACATTTACACAATTGTTTAACACTGTTATATACCAATATAAAATTATTATAATTATTATAAGTAGGATAATAAATACTAAATAAAAATTTATTATTTAATAAACATCAAATCTAATATAACAGAAATCAATTACATTAATTTACAATTTATATTTTATATTATATAATTTGCACATTATTTATTATTCAATATTTATAACAATATTATTTACTTAAATTGTATGATTTTTGAGTTAAACACTTAACAAGATTCATTTTTTAATAACCATTTAATAGCATTTTTTCAATTTTTTACAATAGAGTAAAATACACTTTAGTATTTTCATTAAAATATCATGCTGTATTTATTATATAATAATTTTACAAATTTTATATTTGAGTACGTCTAATAATTTTTATAATGTTTAATTTAAATCAAAATTATAGTTTAATGTCATAATTATTCCTTTATTTTTACCGTACTTGTGACATATCATTTGGTAGTCTTAGTTTGGGGCCAAATGGTCAGTTATCTGTATTTATCATCATTGTTTAACCTGCTGAGTATATACTTGAATGCACTACAATAACATATTTATTTTGAAATTATATAAACAATTTAACATATTTTTATTTCATTCAATAAAATTCAATATGAAAATTGAAACATTTTAAATTATTTTTTTGTTAGTTATTTTTATTTAATTTATGTATAACTATAATTGATCTATTTAGCTAATATCTATATATTTTGTATTAACGTAAATATTATTGAAAAATAAAGTGATCTTTATTATTTAATAAATTATAATGATTAAAAATACACAAGTTAATAAGGGTGCACAGTGCCATCATAGCCTATTAGCTTTCCGGAATCATCATTTGTTAGCTTCTTTATCACGTTCAGTATACCCTCAGCACTAGTCTCCACATCAATAGCACCGGTGGGACCGCCCATATCGGTCTGCACGTGGCCCGGGTGTACGGCCACAGTATTAATACCATATGCGGCCAAATCAACGGACAGGCATTTTGTAATCATATCGAGCGCGGCTTTACTCGTAAAATATGGGTAAATCATACCCATCCGATCCTTGGCCATGTGTATGTTTGTAATACAGCCGGCCAGGGATGAAATGTTGGCCACAGTAGTTTTGCGCTTAGTTGCTCCCGATTGCTATATAGATAATATATTAAAGCAAATTTATTATTAATTTATTTTATTCATTAGTATTAAGTTTTTTTAACTTTATTAATTTTACTAAATATTAATCTTATATATCTAAATTATTACTACTAAATAAATTATTATTAATAAATATGACTAAACGTAATTTTTATATTATTACTTTGATGTTTACTCAACTAAAATTTTATATTAATTTTAAATCAAATCTATGTAATTTTACCTATATAACTAGATACCAAATAAGTAATTTAATATAAATTCTAATAACATACCTTAAGTATTGGCAATAAGGCTTTGGTGAGCATTAGAGGCGCAACCGAATTAACTTCAAAGTTGGTCATCATATCATCGGCGGTCACGGCATCGAGTTTTTTAATAATAGCAATGCCGGCGTTATTGATGAGTGTATCCAAACCCCTGTCGCCCACAATATCGGCCACTTGTTTGGCAAAGCCATCAAAACTCTTGTAGTCCGTACCGTCCAGTTGTAGGACATGTAGGTTTGAGTGTCGGTCCCGGAGCTCATCCAACGCCGCATTAGTGGCCTGTCGTGTAGTGGCGATCACATGTGTGGGCCCGCCATCGGTGCCGGTGTTGGCCAACAGTTGTCGCACTAATTC